TATATATATATATATACCTTGAATGTCAAGGAACCATGCCTGATTTGGGATCATCTCAGACAGGGCTGAAGGATCTTCCTGGGAGGGACAGGAGGGAAAGGGCAGTAGGAGACACAGGCAGTAACTTCCTGCCTTCCTTTTATTTAATTGCCAGAAAGAAAGAGAAAGCGCCCCCCCCACACACCCACACACACACACACACACACTCACACACACACGGGCTGTGGTCACAGGAACATGTCAGCTACAGACCCCTCGGTGTGTCTGCACCCCTACCCCACCCCCGGAAACCAGGATTCTCCGAGAGGCAGCCAGCTGGCCACGGTGACACAGCCCAGGTGTTTTGGCCTCCGTCTCTCCTTCTTGGCCCCATAGTCGATTTCAGCAACTCTTCACCTGCCTTGTGGCTCCCAGGGCCAGTGTGCATCGAGCCACATTTGGGGACGTGGGTATGAAACAAGTGCCTGGGCTTTTCAGCTAGACACTTGGATTCAATGGCCCAGAAATCTGCTCGGTTTCTTTTAAGGCGTGGTCTCCCTCTGTGCCCTCCTCTGGCCCTTAGCCTCTGGAGCAGCCAGGACTACAGGCCCCGAGCGTCTGGATCTTTCAGACAGGACCTGGCTATGCTGCCCGGGCCAGCCTTGATTGGCCTGCCTCAGCCTCCCAGAGAATTCTGCTCTCTAAACACACAGCACAGCCGATGGGGAGCGGTGCCCTGAGGTTTGAGACAGCCTGGGAACCAGCTCCATCGTATTCTTGTGACTGCACAAAACCTCACAGCAAAGGGAGCCGGGGGACTCTCAGCTCCCAAATCTCAGGCTCCCTGGGGCTCTCAGCTCTGCAGTGTCTGTCACGTAATGGCCACAGCAATCCTGAGAGGCAGGGGTCACTGCTCCATTTTACAGATAAGCAAGTTCTGGGCTCCTCAGGTTCCTGTGGTGATACCCTCTGTGATTCCACAATGTGCAAAACACCAGCTTGGGCCAGCCAGTGCAGCAGTGAAGGTGGCCTGGATCCCACATGGCAACTCAGTCATTCGACTGAAAACACAGGCCTGTGTGCATGAGTGCCCCAAATCCTGAAAAGCGAACAAATGGAGAAGAAACTGCAGCGTGATGGTTCCATGGGGGGAGGGAGGCTGCTTTTTCACTCCATTCCCCAAGTACGCCTGCCCTCTGGAGAACTAAAAACAAGACAAAACGCCAAGTTAAAGCTTTATGTCCTTTGGGGCAGGCTTCTTCCCACCTGGCCTCCAGTTTCCATAAGAGAACAATAAATTTGGCCCCATCATCTCATTGGGAGGCTTCTGGGGAGGCTGTCCAAAATGAGGCTAACCATGTTAGATGTTGACAATAGATTACTATTCTATTGTAACCAAATCCAATCTTCACACTTTAATTACTCACATGGCAGGACATCCAGTCTCAACATCTTTTATTTTCATTATTTTATTTTTTGGAGAGGTTTTTGCCATAGGGCGCATGCGCTCGCCAGAAAGACAGCGAGAGACAGAGAGACAGAAAGCAAGACAGCACACCCCCAAGGGGGGTGACCACACCACAATCCCTTCTTCTCCATTCTCCTCTTTGGATCTTGAGCACGCACGCACACGCGCCTGGCGTGAGTTTAAGCCATCAGGTCAGGGACTCGAACCACGGTCGACTACATGGGAGTCCAGTGACATAGCCATTACGCCAACTGCTGGTCCCATCCAGGCTCAATTTGAAAAAGATAGAGAAAAGAGGCCTTCAGAGGAAATCTGTGACTGGACTTAACCGGGAGAGAGCGCCAGGATGCCGGGAATGGGTTAATACAGCAGGGCGGGGGAATGAAAACTGAAGAAGGAGCCTGTGGGCCAGGAGTGGCAGCAGAATGGAGGCTGTTGCCTGAGGCTGACTATAGACCACTCCGGCCAGATCCCACTTTAGCAGAACCACAGCTGCTATTAAGCCCCTCGCTCGGCCATGAGTGGTTCTGAACTTGGCATGATGACTGAACCCTGCCTTATCATCAGAGGGGAGGAGAACAGCGCAGAAAACCAAAGGGACTGAAATTTCAGCCTCCACCAGGCCTCCCAGAGCTCATCATGCTCCCAGAATAGCGCAGCCAGGTTCCCGGCAGCCTCAGCCTCACCGCACTGGGGCTTCCGGCGACAGTCAAGCCCCAAGCAGTGCTGCCGGAACAGCTGGGACTGGACCCCACCCAGAAGCCAGCTGGCAGGCCCTGCCCTGCCCTGCCCTGCCCTACCCTGCCCTGCCGGAGGCACCATCTCTGGTGAGCGTGGGCAAGTCTCGCTTCCTTGTGGCCCTATGTCCACTCACTGCCTGGAGTCCTGCTGGGTTTGAGAGCTCGGGGTGACCTCAAATCACAGGCAAGGGAATGGGGGGCAGCAAATGGGTCTTTTGAAGGCTTTGCCCGTGAATTACGTTGGTGCAGTGTGGACACGACCACAGGGGGCCAGGGGCCATCAGTAGAAGAGAGGCAGACAGGGAGGCGCACAGCCCTGTCACAGGCTGGCAGTCTCCCCATGTGGTGCTGCCCCAAGGGTGGCTTCAAGGGCAAGGGACTATTGGGAGGACGGTGGGTGGCTGAGCCCGCCTGGCTCGACAGTAGGTCTGCTCATTCTGGCACCTTCTCTGCGGGCTGGTGCAATCCTTTTTTCTATTTGTTCCTTTGCAAGTCTGAACTGAGGCCCTATTGTGGGCAAGAACCCATGAGAGACACAAAGATGCACCAGGCACATCTTTCTCGCGACGTGCTTCTGCCCTGGCAGGGGACATGACGGAAACACAGGAATCACCATCGATGAGGAAGAAAATGGTGAAGGCTCGCAGGGGTGGGAAAAGTGCTTTGGGAAGTGAAATACAGCAAGGCCAATGGGGTTAGAATGAATGGTTCCAATCCAGGGGCCCCAAGAACCTCGCCTTTTTTTTTTTTTTTTTTAAGAATTACTTTATTTTCTTTTATTTATTTACTTATTTTAATTTGACCAGAGAGGGACGGAGCGAGAGAGAGAGAAAGAGAGAGAGAGAGTGAGAAAGCAACGACCAGGTCCGGGACTCAAACCACAGTCAGCCATGTGGGAGTCCAGCGTCCTTAACCACCATACCACCTGCTGGCCCAGAACCCTGGTTTTTAAATCTGTAAAATGGAGAAAATAGGGGCCAGCAGGTGGAGTAATGGTTAAGGCGTTGGACTCCCACGTGGCTGACTGTGGTTTGGGTCCCGGATGTGGTGGCTTGAAAATCACACTGGGCACGTGTGCGTGCGTGCCCACAATCACAGGAGGAGAATGGAGGAGAAGGGACTGAGGCATGGCCATCCCCCTGTGGGGTGATTTCTCCCCTCTCTCCGGCGTACATGTGCACTGTAGGCAAAAAACCTACAAAAGAAATGGAGATAATGCTTGCTCTATGGAATCATGTCTGCCTTTACAAGGTTGAAGCATCAAATATCTATAAAAGACACTTCAAAATTGTACAGCAAATGCAGAGTTAAGAAAAATCGTGATGTATTTAGATATGTCACGATGACTCAGTATTACGTTATTTATCGCCGAACTAGCCAGATTCCCTGAGTTTCTTCGGGGAAGCAGAGGGAGCCAGGCCAGCCTAGACCCTGGGCACCCCCTGTCCCTTAGATAACACTGACAGCCTCTCTCAGCTCTCCAAGGACAGGCAGACTATCAGGGGTTGGGGAGACACGATATCTATGCAAAGATATAAGTATCGATGCAAAGTGGATAGATTTGCAAATGCAAGCTGAGGGGAGGGTCCAGGAGAGCCCAGGGAGAAAGGGGACCCAGGGTGTGCGATCACCAGCAAAGGCTTCTGGGAGAAGTCCAGGGCTTTAAAGAGGCAGAGGGGAGGGCGCCCTGGATCAGAGTGGGGGACAAGATGATGAAGCCACAGGAAGGCAAGCGGGGGAGCCAGACTCAGAGCAGGCCTGTCAGGCTGAAGTGACAATTTCCTGTGGGAAAGGGAAAGGAGCTGAGGCCACAGCCCAGGCTGAGTACTGGCTAAACCTTCTCTTAAAGGCACAGAAGCCAGTGAGAAAAGGGGGCCAGGGTGAAGTCAGAGGACGACCCACACTGGATAGGGGTTTGCGTGGTGGCTAGAGGAAGACAGCAATGGGGCGATGTGTGGGGCTAGTGTAGCCGCTGGGGAGAGGCAGAAGGTCCACTCACTTCTGGAAGGTTCCTAGATTGGGGTGAGACTCTTCCTGGAGCTTGGGGGTTGAGGAGGATAAAGGTTTACACTGCTTCTTTTTTCTTTTTGGAAGGGGGGCTGAGCTGGGTGGCCTGAATCCTTGGCATCGAGACCTGGTTCTTAGTTTGTGGTCAGCCTGTCCAGACTCAGACCTGGGAAGTTCAGAAAATCCAGCTCTCTCCTTCCAGAGAGTTGGTTAGTAGTCACTGAGCCACAGACAGGGAGGAGGGGTAAGAGAGAGGCAGATTTTGCAGCCACTTGGGTAGAAGGGTTCAGCATCAGGTGACATTCCAGCAGGCTCTGCCCAAGGCAGCCCACTTCCGGGTACGTTTCCAGAGTGATCACCCATGAGCAGCCGGCTGTGTCAAATGAGTTTAACTCAGCTGGTTCCCCAGGACCACAGGGTACCTGAGTCCTCTCAAAACACCAGGTGCTCCCCACTGCTGCAGGCAGGAAGGTCTGTGAGCCTAAGAGAAAAGGAGATATGGTGAGACACTGCAGCCCAGGGAAGGACCAGTCAACACAGGATCTGAGAGCAAGGAGACGTGGGGTGCAAATTCTGTTTACCAGGCACGGGGCACCGGCCACCAGCACGGAATTCCAGGCTCTACCTGTAAGAGACCCAGAAGACCCTCCCTCAGCTCAGCAAGGGACACTTCCCACTCCAGGTGGTCTGGCTGCAAGACTAGGGCACTCCAGTCCCTAAGAAGAAAGGTCAGCCTTGGGAACCAGCAGTTAGCATAATGGCTATGTCGCTGGACTCCCACAGAGTTGACTGCGGTTCGCGTCCCGGACCCGGTGGCTTAAAACTCATGCCGGGCGCATGTGCGTGCGTGCCCAAGATTCCGAGAGAAGAATGGAGGAGAAGGGATTGCAGCGTGACCATCCCCCCTGGGGAGTGATTTCTCGCTTTCTGTCTCTATGTTTCTCTCTGTCTGTCTGGCGAGTACACGCACCCTATAGCGAAAACCTCTCCAAAAAAAAAGAAAGAAAGAAAGATCAGCCTCCTCCCTGCCCCCACGGAAGAGGAGGGGTAATGGCTCCTATATAAGATTCTGCAAGCTGGAGCTGCCACCCAGGACTCCTGCTGCCCAGACACTGGAAGTCCCCCAGAAGTCCCCCTGGGGAACATAGCTGACCTCTGGCACTCCCTGGGTAGGCACCTCTGTGCTCCAAACCAGCTGCCGGGGCTCCTACCTGGGACTCTGCTGCAGGGCATTGCTGGCACAGGCCAGTGGCCTTCTCCAGCAAGCACCCAGCTTGCTGGCTTCCCAGGAAGGTGTGGTGCCAGTGGGCAGGGCAGGTGTGGCACTGTTTGCAAGGCGAGGTGTGGGGAGGTCAGTCTTGGTCTGTCGCAGAAGAACAGATACTCCATGAGCATTTTGTGAAAACACCTACCACGCACAGCCAGGCTACGAGCCAGGTCTGGGGACAAGATGAGCAAGCTGTGGCCCTGCTCTCAAGGAGGTACGGGCTACCTGGGGAGAGAGCGATTTAGAAGGTTATGAGGGACCTGCAGATGCCATAATGGCTATGTTGCTGGACTCCCACGTAGTCGACCGCGGTTCAAGTCCCAGACCTGGTGGCTTAAAACTCATGTGCATGCGTGCCCAAGATCCTGAGAAGAGATTAGAGGAAAAGGGATTGCGGCATGGCCACCTTCCCCGGGGAGAGCAAGGGGTGATTTCTCACTTTCTGTTTCTCTATTTCTGTCTCTTGGGCGAGTACTTGCATCTATAGCAAAAAATCTTTCTCTAAAAAAAAAGTTAGACCTCTTTGGAGCCAGCAGGTGGTGTGGAAGTTAAAGCAACTGGACTCCACATGGCCAAGTGTGGGATTCGAGTCCTGGACCTGGCAGCTTGAGCCCATGTGATGTGTGTCCAAAATCCCAAGAGGAGAATGGAGGAGAAGACATTGTGGCATGGCCATCTCTCCTAGGGGCTGCCTTCTCCCATTCCCTCTCTCACTGTCTCTTTCCAGTAAGTGCAGGTACCCTATAGCAAAATAAAAATAAATAAATAAATAAAATTTAAAAGAATAAAAATAAATGTAAAAAGCCCTGTTAGACCTCTTGTCTGAAGGCACGGAAGTGGAGTGTCGTGGTGGACACCAGAAGGTGGGTGGGAGAAGGGCTGACGTACAGGGCGCAGGTGAGTGGCGTGAGCTCTGAGCACACGGCAGCCTGCGTGTAGACTGTGACTGATGATTCGAAGCGTACTTTGAAGGAGAAGAGTGATTTCCAATGTGCATAACGTGAAGTCGGGACAAGAGTGAGACGCGGGCATGCTTCCCGCCCTGCTTTGCTCATTACACGAACAATACATACTCTGAAAAACCACATGGTACCCCAGAAGTATGCACGACTATTACATGTCAATTAGAAATGATAATAATCTTTATTTTAATTATTTTAACAAAAACCTTAGACTTCTACCTGAAAGGCCTCAGGCTCAGAAAGCTGGGCAATCACCCCAGGAACGGGAAGGTTGACCACAGAGTAGCTCTCCGTGCTCGGCAGGCACAAGGAGCATTCTAGACGTGGCTTCATTTTGGGGGTGGTGTTATCGCCCTGTGTACACGAGAGGAAAACTGGGGCTCAGAACTATCTTTGGACTCACCCAGGTCACACAGCTGGCAGGTGGAGAACTGCTCTCACCCCTGGGTCTTGTCAGTCCCTAAGTCCTCCCCAGGCTTCCGAGAGGGGTGCTCTTCCCCTCTGGAAGGCAGCTTTCCTGTGAATCGCAGAAGCGGCCCTCTGCCTGTGGACCACCAGCAGCATATCGTGTGGGCAGGAGGGGGCCGCTGGAGTCTAGTACACCTGCGTACAGAGTGGGCGGGAGGGGGCCGCTGGAGTCCAGTACACCTGCGTACAGAGTGGGCGGGAGGGGGGCGCC